TCTAGTAACTCCAAAAGTAAAAAAAAAAAAAAAACTGTTGGAATTCTTTCACAGTTTTGTAATTTTATACAAATGATCATGAGAAAGAGACTCTAGAATAAAACCTCTCAAACTCATCAATAAGTGAAAAATTGTATCTGATAACCTACAGAAATGATAAATACAAAATTATTTGACACACAAATTAGTTTACAAAATTCCATATAATATAGTAAATGCTTAACAAGGTTTTTCTTTAGATATGTCAAAGTAATGATTTCAGTCAAGTTTAGACGCATTTTACTCATACCTCAAAACAAAAACCTTTAAAATGCAGCCTTTTTATTCATATTTCAAACGTTTTTGGCCATTTTAAATGGTCTTCCTCAGGAACAGAAAAATTGAATGATCCTGCTTTTAGTAAAAGTGTTTTTTGTTTTCAGGTATGAGTTATATTTAAGTGCAATTACAGAAGAGTTTAAGACACATTTTAAATAAAAATGCTCAAAATTGTAATGATTTTAATCAAGTAAATACTACAAAATACGCTGCAATTAAAAGAATTCTAATCTAATCAACTGTTTGACTTATAGAAGAACACTATCTTGCATGGATAATGAAATATTACACCAAAAAACTTCATATCTGTACAGTACTACTAATTAATATTTAATGTGAATTGCAGTTAATTTCTTTGATATGACTAAGCTATTCCAAAAGCTTATCTGAAAATACTGCTAAATACAATTTCATTATATTTTGATTTGTATGACTTCATCAATTTTAAAAGCCTTCTGGTATATAAATTTCTGTAGAAACAGTAGAGTAAGTTAACTTTAATTATGGATGTCCTGTGCACTAGATAATGAATTTACTTTTATAACATATTAATATAAAAGAAATGTATATTATTATTATGAATATTAAACAATTCTATTTCTATAAATTCAGTAATATTTGTTGATTTATATTCTATTTTTTACTCTTGAAAATTCAGTTCTTTTTATTATGCAAATATTAATTAATAGCTGGTCTAAGTCAATGGGAAAAAATAATGAATTATTCTCATAATCACATATCAGTACAAATTAGCCATATTTATTTTATAAATAACAACAACTCAAAGCCCGAATAGTATATAATAAATTACCAAACGATCGCCTAAATATCGGGCTATAATTAAATGATTGGAATAAAGTAATTTGACATAGCCCGATATTTAGGCGATCGTTTGGTAATTTATTATATACTATTCGGGCTTTGAGTTGTTGTTATTTATAAAATAAATATGGCTAATTTGTACTGATATGTGATTATGAGAATAATTCATTATTTTTTCCCATTGACTTAGACCAGCTATTAATTAATATTTGCATAATAAAAAGAACTGAATTTTCAAGAGTAAAAAATAGAATATAAATCAACAAATATTACTGAATTTATAGAAATAGAATTGTTTAATATTCATAATAATAATATACATTTCTTTTATATTAATATGTTATAAAAGTAAATTCATTATCTAGTGCACAGGACATCCATAATTAAAGTTAACTTACTCTACTGTTTCTACAGAAATTTATATACCAGAAGGCTTTTAAAATTGATGAAGTCATACAAATCAAAATATAATGAAATTGTATTTAGCAGTATTTTCAGATAAGCTTTTGGAATAGCTTAGTCATATCAAAGAAATTAACTGCAATTCACATTAAATATTAATTAGTAGTACTGTACAGATATGAAGTTTTTTGGTGTAATATTTCATTATCCATGCAAGATAGTGTTCTTCTATAAGTCAAACAGTTGATTAGATTAGAATTCTTTTAATTGCAGTGTATTTTGTAGTATTTACTTGATTAAAATCATTACAATTTTGAGCATTTTTATTTAAAATGTGTCTTAAACTCTTCTGTAATTGCACTTAAATATAACTCATACCTGAAAACAAAAAACACTTTTACTAAAAGCAGGATCATTCAATTTTTCTGTTCCTGAGGAAGACCATTTAAAATGGCCAAAAACGTTTGAAATATGAATAAAAAGGCTGCATTTTAAAGGTTTTTGTTTTGAGGTATGAGTAAAATGCGTCTAAACTTGACTGAAATCATTACTTTGACATATCTAAAGAAAAACCTTGTTAAGCATTTACTATATTATATGGAATTTTGTAAACTAATTTGTGTGTCAAATAATTTTGTATTTATCATTTCTGTAGGTTATCAGATACAATTTTTCACTTATTGATGAGTTTGAGAGGTTTTATTCTAGAGTCTCTTTCTCATGATCATTTGTATAAAATTACAAAACTGTGAAAGAATTCCAACAGTTTTTTTTTTTTTTTTTTTACTTTTGGAGTTACTAGAATATATAAACTTCAAAAATGGATATTCTGTATAAAGTCTTAAAACAGACATATATATCTTTATATACAAATAAATTGTTTATTTAAAAAATAGTAGATTTTAGTGCAATTAGGATAATATTTTGATCAAAGCCAAACTGTAGAATTAGAAAATCTCAACACTTGATCCCAGGGAAATGCAGGAAAATCTAAAAAATAAAAAAATAAAAAGAAAATTTAATTTATTATTTTCTGCTTAATGTTCACTTAATAATAATTATAAATTATCATAATTAATTAAATTAATAAATTTGGTTTTTAAGTCAATAAAAATCGAAAAATATAGTACCAAAATAACAAATATTTAAATCAGACAATATGAAAATTTGTCAATTTATAAAGCAATCTGACTCAATATTATATAAATGAATTTAGAGAAATGTTTGTTTATATTCTAAATTTAATTATTTATCTTGATGACGATACAAATTTTGTGTGTTGTTTTCATTTTAAACTATTTTTACAGTAATAGATTTTTTGTTAAATTGTAATTATCATTCAAATAAGTCTGTAAACTGGTTAAACATATTAATTTTATTGTACGGTGTATTATTTTTCTAGTTATTAAAATGAAACTTCAATGGATCCTTTTTTTTTTTTTTTTCAAATTAATTAACTCAGTCGACTGCTGTTCTTTCATTAACAAAAGCAATTATTTTAAGCAGTTGTATCTAATAACTTACATTAAAATTAAAATTATACCTTTTTAATCTTAAATTTGCTTGCAGACAGGTAATAGTTAACTATTAATTTAAATTTTGACAATTGATTGAGATGCATTTTACCAAGAAATCTTGTTTAACTCAGCAAATTATTTACACTCCAACGATTCCAATCGGAGAATATTAAAAAGTGAACCACTCCTGCATAATTTCCTGGATGTTTTAAAAAAACTAGTCCAATCATCTTCAGTATCATTCTTGTTTGTGAATCCTTTTTTTTTTTTTTTTTTTATTGTAGAGTGCAATGTATGAGTTACTCTTATTTATTAGCTCAATAGAAATAAGATATTGAGCAAGTAAAAGAATGAATAAATTTAAAGAAATTTTTATGAATGTCATTATATGTTAAAACTGAACGAATGTGTCGATTGTTGCTAGTTTTTTAGCAATTTTGATTGATTGATGATTTATTTGTTTTTAACTGTTTTTTCGGTGAACGGAAAGGAAGGAAATGTTTCTACTCACATATATTAACCTTTTTTTTTCTTTTGTGTATTAGTCAGTATTATCAAAACAAGTTTAAGTTTCGTAATTACAATTATAAAATTAAAAATATACTATATATGCTATAATAATTAACAAATGTAATAGCAGTTTATGATCCATTACATATAAAATGTTTGACTCAGAAAAAAAAAACTGATTTAGTATTATTATTATTATTATTATTATAATGTAATTGTTTATGGCATAGAAATTTTAATTTTTTTATGAATTTAATGCAAATAAATTTAAAATGTAATAAACATTGTCCATATTTTTGCAATTATATTATGTAAAAATGGATTTTAGTGTAAAAACAGTAATGTTTAATCAATGCATTTATAAAATTTCTTACTTTAGAAAATATTTTTATCAAACAAACAACTTATTAAGCAAAAATTTTATAAAAGTTTTTTTTTGTGTAATAAGTAAATTTTTTTTATAATTAAATTTGTTAGTAAAGAAGCACATTAATCCGGTTAGATAATTACTTGGAAAACTTGTTAGTGACAGGTATAATAGTACTATACATTTAAAATTATCCATATTATTCTAGAATTAAATATACATTATGCAAACTCTCATTATAATAAGCAAGAAAAAAGTTTTTGCCATTAATCAAATTAATGTCTAAGTAAATTTAAAAAAAAAAACTATTTAAAAACATTTAGTGATTACAGATTTTAATACTTTCCTGACCTCTAGGCCATTGTCTTTCTTTACGATGTCCTTGATTGCAGAGCATACCATAAACATTAATTCCGGGTATGTGAGCATAGGTCGGTATGCTGTGTTTGATTGGACCTTGTAAATATGCATACGATGGACAGTGACATATGACTAGATAATGGGATTTTCCTGTTCTCCTGCTCTGTAATGCCAGTAACATCCAGTCTTTGGGATTCTTACAAGGTCTCACAGTATGAATTGGTTCGCAAATTTTGACCAGTGTCAGCGGCTACAAAATGAATTAATTAAAGTATTGACACAACAAAAGAAAACTTAAAATTAATACTAAAGGAGTAAAGTTAATTAAGTAATTAAACGCACAAAGTGTAATTTTCTTTGAAAACTTACACGATAATAAATTATATATTAATTATATTCAATTCAGTTATTATGGAAAAATATTGTGTACATAAGATGGTATCTTAGAATTAATTTAGATATTGTTAATCATCAAGGAAGCTTTAAATAATAATCTGATTAATAAAATGCTTAAGAAAATCAGATAAGAACTGTAGTTTAGTAGGTTCATTTATATAGATTAAGCAAATAGGTTATATTTGTATATTGATAAGTTTTTTTTTTAGTTTGAATCGATAGAAATCTTTTAATTTTGCATTCTGAATTTCAAATTTATTTAATTATGGACCTCTCATCTATTTATTAGGAGAAATTATTGTCTAATGTTCCATCTTTTAATCATTAAGTGATTAAAAGATGGATGCAATCTTGTGTCATTTGACAATGGTTATATATTTATCATATTTTCTAGTAAAATAATTAGAAGTTATATGCCAATTTTAATTGATATTTAATATAAAATTCCTGTAAGCTAGTTTAATTGTTAATTTTATAATAATTTAATACTATGATATCATAATTGAAATTATAAAATAAACCCAGTATAATTGCTTTAATTATTATTATATCCAGTGTAAATGCTTAATATTACATCTGTACATGTATATGAATGAAAGTAAAGGATCAACCTGTTTAAAGAATTTTTTTTGTTTATTCATTAAGTTAATATTAGAGTAGTTTATAAAAATAAATTATGGATGTTGAAATGAAGGACAGAAAACCAGATTCTTTCTTCTTGTTACCTACTGTATTTTAATAACTGCTAGGAAGTTATCTAAAAAGGAAACTGTGGGTGGACTAGCTAGATACAATCAAACCTAGTTGAGATTAGGTCAACAAATCCATCAGAATTCTAAATGATAAGCTAGATTTACTAATAATTATATTTTGTTAAAAATAAAATTTAATATTAATCATTATAATCATTTATTTTAAAAAAAATCAAGGTAATAAATGTAGCAATAACCCTTGATTTAATAAGAAGGATTTCCTTTTTATATAATACTACAGTTTAGTTCAATAAAAAAAGGGGGACTGTATTTATTTTTTTTTATTATTATTATTAGATTATAGTTAAGTAATGTAAGATTGTATTTATAAGATTATAAATTCAGGAACACCAGTGTGTTAATGAGAAACAATATAAAAAGGCTTTATCGTGCGTGTTTATCTTTGGTAGAAGAAACGAAAAGTGCTATGTTGGCAAAACGTGTTCTGACAATAAGAACGTGAAAGCAACCAATGTTTTGTGACAGTCACGTCTTATTTAAAAGGGAAATAGTAGTATCTGTAACCGAATCGTTCTATTACATCACAATAATGAACCCAAATTATTATAAAAATAGTAAATTTCCATAGGAAAATTGCTTAGCGTGTTAATTAAGTCGAAATCTATTCTGCCCCCCTGATGTGTAACTGTGAAGTGGCACAAATCGGGCATCCTCTAATTGTGCTGTACGAGTTTTATTGCTTTTAGATGGTCGTAATGATTTATTAGAGTGAAAAAACCCCATTTATTACACAGTAGACAGTTGAAGGCAGGGTGTGTCTCGAATTAAACTTAGGGACGGCAACTAATGAGATGTAATACGTGATTTGTAGGCTAAGGTGTTATACATTTTCGTAAATCATTCCAAAAAAAACAATACGGTAGTACTTACTACACCAGCTTCGTCGGCGATCAAATTAATAGTGTGCTCGTCGGCCGAGTCCATTCTGTTCGAGCAGGATAGGCTATAAGTCTTGGGACAGTAACATAGGGATTGAATTCGGTTCAGTCGGATGTACATTGCGTTACATACTTGTTGAGTCGAGCACTCGGGCAAACCGTAGGGAAGTAATTTTCCATCTCTGTTGGGTATCTAGACGAGAGAGAGTGGAAAGGGGAATAGTTAAGTAACCTTAATTTTAATCCCCCTCTACTAACGAGAACGAATGGAAGCAACACGTCATTCAATAAGATGCGTTATCAAAATTGAATATCGTTTTCGACGATAAAAACATAACGTGATGATCGATCTGATTATAAACACGATAATTATTATTGTAATCATTCATTTGATTTAAGTCGGGGATCGATGGTGCATTCACAGTTGGCACGCCAAGGTCGAATGTTTAGCATTATTTTCTCTCTTAATCTCCTTTCTGACCCAACAGCGCTACATACCTGTTACACTCTATTTGTGCAAACGAACATTCACGGCTTTAAAGATGCATCGACACTCTTTCAGTTCCTGGTAGCCAAATATGCCCTTTTTCTATGTTTACGTAACGTGGTTACGGCTCAATGAATCAAATTTCCGCTCTTGAATGAAAAGTCTCCAGAGATTCGAATGGGTCGAGTCGAGACCTCTCTTTTTTCCCCCCCTCTCCTTTTATTCTTGCTGTTACTAAGCTGAAAAAAGTTATTTTTTAAAGCAAATTTATCGAATAAATTTTATACTTAATGAAAATTTAAGTATCAGAAAATGGTACTGTAATCTTTATTAATAGAAAAACGCTGTACGTTACTTGTAAAATACATTCTTAAGAGGAGGAAAAACTTAAGATTTTATCAAGTTAACGTCTTTTTTTTTTATCCTCGGGAACATAATAAGAATCTATCTCATCTAAAAGTACATAAATAATTCATGCCTATAAATCTAATTAATAATGAACGTTGTGCCTACTAAAACCGGAAATGCCATTTTAGAATTGATTAGCAACTGGAACATTTTTATTCTGATAGGATATAAAACAGAATAAATACAGATTATTATTATTATATATATTTTTTAAACTAGTTTCTTTATTCCCTTCTAACTTATTATGGATGTGTTGTGCTTGTACTGAGCTATCAAACATTCTGTAAGATAAAGATAGCATTGTGTTTTTCTACGTTTTTTGACAGATTAACGGACGAATATGGAATTTTAATTACTTATCTAGTGATTATGTATGTAGCGATTGTGTTTTCCATTTAGGAAAGTATTGTTTGGTCGGAGGAAAATAAAAAGAAAAGAAATAATTTATTTCTTTCAACGAGAATTTAAAAATCTGTTTTGAAATTGATCGATTGTTCGTTTCATTTTTTAAAAATCTTTAACCTGGAAGAAATAGGGGAAAGTACGTATTGTCATTCCCTGCAAGACTTTAAAACTTCTCTCATTTTGCTACCTTTGTTTTCCTTAATCGGAAAAATCGAAAAATAAAAATAAAAAATAAACAAAGAATGAATTAAATAGTTTTAACCTTGAAAGTCTTCCTCATCGAATCTTAAGAACATCTGGAATCATTTTCGACGTCATCTACGGCATTATCAATGAAAAAGTCGTCTATGAATTCTCATTCATAACCCCGAGTATAAAAGAATTTCATTCATACAACAATAATAATAAAGCCAAAGGGGAAAATAGAACGATAATTACAGTACCAGTTTCTTCATCACTCGGCTTCGTAATATCTAAAGTCGTAAGTACTTGTGACCTTTCCCACGTATTATAACGAAATTTGTGTCCGGTCGACGTAAAACTTACCAGAAAATTAACCCATAAAACGTGACCTTCTGTTACATCATTGACCCGTCCCAGACATTTTTTTTTGTTTTTTGATATCTGCTTCGTAAGTATTGTGAAGGCGCGTAACTTGGCTCCCCTTTATTATTTCTTTTAAAGGCTAGCATTACTAATATTACGCGGAAGAGATAAATAATGATAATGATAAAAGTCTGTCTTGGGGTGTAAATTCTCATTATGCCGTCTAAGAATCGCGAGTAGAGAAGCGTAGATTTTTATATTTAAACAAAGCGACTGTACCTTTTCTGAGATGCCACGCAAGACGGCCTTTTCATTGTGGACGGCCGAAGTCGTCGTCCAAGCGGCGATTAGGAGGAACAGTCCAATTGTCAGCACATTGCACATTGTCGCCACCACTTGTGTCGTAACGAGCATCACCAGTTGCCGTTTTTACGTCCTTCCACCCATAAACGGCGTCTCCCCTCCCCCCGACTTTTGAGCCTGGGAAATACAGTCCATGAGACATTAGGGTTACGGTAACACTCATCCTTGCTTAGTTCCGTCTAAGCGAACGGTTGGTTGGTCTTGCTCGTGCCTTTCAGATGCACATATTGTGTCGCTGAACTCGGTCCCGAGTTCACAGAACTCCCACCGATATGTACTGTACCTATGCCAAATTTGGTCCCGTCGTAAATCGTACCTATAACACACATCTGTCAGAGCATCCGGGGCTACACTTCGGTAGCGCGCCTTTCAATTACGTCTATTTTTCATTGTAAACGTTTGTTTACCTCTTATAATAATAATAATAAAGCGACTATATTTAACATAAAAATAGCGGTAGCCCCGATAAAAGGTCCTCTTACCACGAGGGGGTATACTAATTAACATACGTGATTTTTTATATATAAAAATATCTTCACGTCCTCCTCAGGTCATCTTTACATCTCTGATATTTATCGATCGGCCGGGCTCATGTTAGAAAGTCATTTGCCGGGTTCCTCCTGTATTTCAGACAGTTTCGGTGTTTTGACCCGTTGCATGTATGCCTACACGCTGCGATAAAATACTATTTATGTAATTTTTTTTTTGCTTTTTAAAAGTATTATCTACCATTGTCTGTTATATAGAACATGGATGGCGGGTCAGAGTTTGCTCCCCCCGTTTTATTTTCACACGTTTCCTACCTAAATAGCGAGCTTTTGGTCATTAGCACATTAGATATTCGCCTAGTCTTTCATGCGAAAAAAAAAGACAAGAACTTCAATAGAATCGTCTCGAAAACATTATACGATTATGCTTTTTTTTTTCAATACACGAAAGGATGGTTCATTGTACGTGACGTTGTCACGCATTAGACACGCGTGTAACTAACGATCCGTTCCGATATACACGATTAGGTAGGTGCATTAGTATATTATTATCAATTTTAAACTAGGATTTCACTTTTGTCTCTTCTGTTTTTGATTACGACAATGGAAACGTCTTTTCCGATTTATTCGACGGTAGATGGCGTTAGAGGGTGGAATGAGGACCCCTCTTTTTTCCCCTTCTTTCTCTAACCCGTTAAGAACAATTGCAACTAAAAAACAAAATGCCAAAAGTAATAAATGCCTGGAGACATTCCTTACCACATTTTAGTGTTTGAACCGAATTTAATCCCCTCCTCTTCAGGAAACTCGGCTATGGAAAGGTAGTAAAATCTGTCCGGAATTCAACTTATTCTGTTAAGATGCGAACTGGTTTGAAGTTAATTCTACCCACATCCTGTTTAGGTCCCGAGTTGACCTTGACATGTTTTTATTCTTTTTTTTTTTAATATATATTTTAAATATTAAACTTTTCGTTGTTTTCCACTAACTGCTACCAACCGCAGTATGGTCTTTACGAGGAAAACATTTAGTTGTGGTTACCTATCGTGTTAAGTAGATTTTATTTGTAGCAAACTGATCCAATGATAACATTCGTGTTAATTACATCTCACCACATCTTTTTCTATGGTACAAATGATCAATTTTTCCACTCCTCCTCCTCCTAAATTAATGGACAGTTTTTTCGAGTTATGTTTTGATGCGTTGGAGCTATTTACGATTCTAAAACTACTATTTACTCCCACTTAAATCAGTGATGTACGTATTTTATTAACAGAAAACTTTACGAAAAAGCTGTTAATATTCGTTAAACTCGTTTCTTTTATTATTGTTTGGGCGGCAAAGATAGAAATTTGGGATTTCTCTATGCTAATACCCAGGAAAATATACTTTGTGGCAACCTTATTCGACGAATTTAAAAGCCCATTAATTAATCCGATGCCAAATTCTTCGAAAGGCATTCTTTTACGGTAATTGCTGTCAGATTTCCATACGTCCACTTCCTTTGTAAATACGTTGGACATAAGTCGTATTTGAATAATTTACGGCCGACAAGCGCCTGGTACTACCGTGGATAATTAAATCAGTCAATGGAGAGTCGCGAGTAGAGGAGAATGTAAACAGGAAGAACCATATGCCCAATCATGACGTCACGTAAGGCACGAAATACATATTAATCCCGTAAAAGATCAAATCGTGATAACCTTCACGGATTACGTCTCGAATGTGACAAGCGTAAAATCGATCGGAGGAACGGTAATAAAAGATTTTTTTTTTAAATTTTATATATATATAAATTTTTTTTTACGGATGGCGATTTTGATGACAAGAAAAGTGACGTTGTCGATCATCTCTCGCGAAAACCGCACCCCTTGTGAGATACATCCGCCGAAAACCGATACCCCGTTTAATTATCTCGGCTGCTGTATTATTTATGCTTGAGATAAAACGATTTTTATCTCGCATTTCCACAATGAACTCTATAGAATTTTGATAAGTTTGCCACCGACAAAAATAAAAATAAATAAATAAAAAAAATGTCAACTTCTTGACGAGAAATTAACATATTTCTAACGCCATTTTTGCCTCTCGATCCGACTTATATAGATTTGTGATTATCAAAATGTATAAAATGGCCACGATACGCACGTAAACAAAGTACTGTATTCCGTTTGTTTTCAAGTTTCGAATTTCCTGTTAATAAGAGGACTTCCAAGTGTGCTGACGATACTCGTTTTTTTTGGGCGGTCGTTGCTATTGACACGCATTTTTGTCCCATAAACCTAAATTCTGTACAGTCTCCGCTTTGTACATTATTAACTAACAATGTTTGTGTTTATATTGGGCGTTACGGGATGGCGTTGGGGAAAAAAAAGAAGGAAGAAAAAAAAAAGAGGCTCGGACTTTTGTATATTGTCTAGTTTTTCTGTTTTTTTTTTTTTTACTGGTATTCTAGGAAATTAATGCTTGGTTGGTTGGCATTTTAATAACAGTATTTTGTGGCGCGTTTGATTATCGTTCGAATGTTTTGTTACTCTGTTTGTTTATTAAATAATAAAAAAAANTATATATATATATATATATATATATATAAATGATATGAAAGTTATGTAAATTAAAATTTCTTTTGGTAAAATGTCAGTTTTCATTTATTTTATTGATTTTATTTAAGTTTTTATTGTTTTTGGAGAAGGATAAAATGATATTTGTGACTTGCCCAGGCCTCATTTTATTATTTTTGTTTGGTGAATTATGTAATCTAGTTCTGCATCAAATCACTTTTTTATTTATTGTATTGATTATTCTATTTTCTTTAAATGATCAAAATGCATTTTTATTTACATATATGCTTGATAAATTATACTTTGTCTCCAATTATTTATATATTATTCATGAAAGTTTACTTCTTGAAATTTGTACAGACCAGAGTATACATAAACAAAACACCAAGGAAGCATAAAATAAACTTTAGTATGGGCTTTACTAATGGAAAAAAATATTGATATTAGTCTGTTTTTTCATTAGTAAAGCATATACTGGAGTTTATTTTGTAGTTCTCTGGTTTGCTCTGTTTCATAAAAGTTTGGTGTTAATTAATGTAAATTAAAAATTTTTTTAAAATATTTAAAAAAACGTTTTAAATTATTAATTAAAATTAAAATCATCAATTATCAATTTGAAATTGCTGTAAGAAATACATTTGTGTGTAATCCTGTTGTTAATTCGATTGTTTTCAGAAATTATTATTTTTTTTAACTCTTTCCACTCTGTGGGCACTAAGAGGGCCTCGTTTTCCAAGTCCATTATGAGCTCGGCCAGGCTCACAATGGTGAGGGACGGGGTCTGAACTATCTGGACGGACCACCTCCAAAAAATTCCTGGGGATTTTTCGACCCATCCAGATTCGATCCCAGGTCCCAAGAGCAGTAGGCAGTCCTTGACTGCTTGGCCATCCAGCCATCTTTCAGAAAATTTAATTATAATTGATATAGTTCTAATTGTATAATTATGTGAAGTATTATATTTGATATTTGGGCTATTTGAAGATGCAATCTATAAAATAGCTCCAAATGTCAAATGTACTATTTTATATAATTATAAACATAATCTGTAAGGACAAAAGGATAATTTGAAGACAAAACTTAAGAAATGATTGACCCATTTAATAATATGTCTTTGTCTTTTGTTTGAAAATTTCAAAACATAAATAATCTTTATTTACAATTTGAAGTTTCCAAATTAGCTAGAGAAACGATTGATCTGTTTACAAAATATACAAAAATCTCCATATAAAGTATTATGATAATATATTAAGGCAAGTGTTGTATACTAAAATGAAGCCTTTATAAGACAGTCATTAAACTTTTTATGAACCTAAAGCTATTATATTTGTTAACTAAATTATATGTAGAAAGTTTCTTTTATAAAATTTAAATATCATAAACTAAGTAAGATTAATAAGATGAAAAATAATTCATATTCTGCACGAGTAATGCAGCAAGAAATTTTTAATATAGATAAATTAAAATTAAAACTAGGCCATATTTACATTTACGTTAAAATATAAAATATCACAAATATACAAACTTGTTTCCATTTTTCTTTTTCTGTCACTAAAATCACCAGCGACAATCCAAAACAATTTTCACATATGGAGATGACCTTTTATTGGCATAATTGCCAGAGGAATTTTTTCCATTTTGCATTTTTTGCAGAGGATGCAGCCTCAAATGAAAGGTCATCTCTGTATGTGAAAATTGTTTTGGACTGTCACTGATTGTAATGACAGGAAAAGAAAATGAAGACAATTTTATACATTTGTGATACATTTTAATGTAAATACAGTAGCGCCTCAATTATCCAACCCAATTGGGGACTGGGGTTGGTCGGATAATTGAAAAGTCGGATAACCGAAAAGTATGAAAAAAATCCATTATTAGTGTAGTATATTATTATATCCCATATAATTAGTATATTAGTATATCGCTATTAATCTACTTCGCTTTGAATTTTCATCGATGTTAAGCCTAACAAAAATTTTTTAAAATAATAATTGTCGCTATTGTATNCGATCGATTATAATACATGACCAAGACCTGTCATTGTATTTCTAGGAATTCAATTATTTAACACATTGTACTATTGATGTCTGATTTTAACTGAAAGTTACAAAGATCTTAAAAAAAAAGAAATCAGTTTTTAAATAAATTATGAATTTATTATGGGAAATTATTTTAACAAATAATAACATTTTTCATTTCTCGAGGTTTTTTTAATAT